GATGATTCTGAATAGTTCTGCTTTGATTCACTACATGTTTATAATCTCTCAGAAGACAACTTTATTTCAAGTTACACCTCCTCCAGGTGCACAGGTGCACATGTGTGCGCACACCACACAATACCAGTTACAAATAAAACAAAAATTTCTTAAATATATATCTTACCGTCTTTAATCACAGAACCCTAAAGTAAAAACTAAACTTTATATGATATAAAACATACTACAGTCCAGTGTAAAGGCCAATATAATCAAGACTAATAATTTGCTAATAATATTTAATTCATTTTTTGGTTTGTTCTGAAACATTCTGAATTTTTTCCATCTTGTCAAAATATCACCTGCAATAGACAACACCACCCACATCATTCACAATCCTTCCATGCTATGATTGCCTTGGGCCTTCTGCCTGAACCTCTGCTGAGCCAGCTGCCTAAGCCCTGATAGAGCTTCCACCTAACTAGCCAATATTCTTCAGGTACTAGGATTTGGATGTTCAGGTATATTACAGATTGAAAAACAAAAGGGAAGTTTGTTGTGGGCTAGTCTAAAAACCAAACCAACATTTAAAATTTCATCTCCATGAGAATGAATTTGAAATGCCAGATCACCAATTTATAGTCAAATTTCTGGAACTCATCCTATTTGGGGGCCTGTCTATAAACATATCCAGACTGAAAAACAGGCCCAACTATTCTCCTTGCTAACTATGAATGTTTATAGACAGTTAAATTGATACACAATTAACAAATAAATTTCAAATTTTCAGATATAGCTTCTTGATAACTTAAAAGCCTACACTGACCAGGTCAACTAAATTATAGTGCCTTGGAAAATCTGGGAAAAGCCAGCAGTCACATCCATTTGCATGTCCTTGGAAATGTAATAAGACTGTTTTAAGAAGTTAGACATATAGGCACCAGGAAAAATAATGAAATAACCTAGAATGCTTCCTGTAACCTTTACCTTAGATTCCTGTAGGGAGGATGTAACCTAGTAACAATTCAAAACCTGTCTACATGTACTAGCCAATAGAAAGATTGAGGTAGTGATTATGGGGCTGTCCTCTTCTCTCTCTCCTTTGATTCTTCCCCCTTAGTGTGATTACAAAATGCTGACCTCTGCTGGCCCTGGCTTTGGAGTGCAGTTCTCAGGGAGATCTGACTTAAGTACCCCTCTCACCCCCACCCTGCTGCAGTTATCAAAGAATGGCATTAAACATACTTATATATTTGGCCTCAGTTTCTTTTAGGTTAGCATACTTCACAAAAGGCTTCTAAAGGTATAAGTTATATGCTGAAAAAAATTTTCGTTTGAGCATTAACACAATTTAAAGGTCCAATCTATCTGATTCATCTCTCTCTATGGAATCAACATTTAGGAACTCAACTATGAAATAGTGAGGAGTCCAGGTGACTGAAAAGATTCGGCTTCAGAGATTCTCTCACTCACCTTGCTCTAAACTTTGTAATAACCCTAGATGCCTCACTCAGGCATTAAAAAGGCCAATTTTCACACAGACTAATCACCTGTGATAGATGACATTTGGGGGGCAGGGAGGTTGCCTTTTAAAAAAGATGGTGTTAGAATTCCCCTGGCGCATGATAGGGAAGCACATTACCAATTTGCCACCTCTTTGTAACCTTCCATATCAGTGCAGTCAAAGCTCCTTTCTTCTTCATGTGCCCATATCTGGCCACTGACTCATTTTAAAACTTTGAAAACTATATATAATTTTTATTAAAAAGTTATTTTTGTTTCTTGCTTGTTTATAGACAATTAACATATACTTAAAAATTTTTAAACATTCAGGTCTAGCTACTTTAAGAATGGCTGCAATTTTACTAACTTTACTTTTGGCATGAAGTTTACTAATTTCTGAATTGGAATACTGCCAAATATTTAAAACTTGAATCTTTGGTTTACAGTATCTCCAAGTAGAAGATTATATGTTTGTTCTTTAAGACACCAAACAAGTAATCTAGTAGGAAAGTTTAATTAAATACAGTTAAATCAAGAAATTAAAAACTGGCAAAATATGACAACATACAAGAATCCTGTATTCTAGATATATTACACAAAAAGTAAGTGTACAGAATACTAAGACTGCATGCAAAATCATTATTATATGGTCAAAGGAAATATATTTGCGCTCTTTAAATTCAAGGCCAGCGTCTTAAGATTTAATATTTATTTTAAAGGCACTTGCATTAAACATAAATAATTATGAAGTATAATGATAAGATAATGGAGCAAGTGTGAGAAACAAGCCCAAGGATTTTTAGCCTCAAATTCTGAACCTGAATGAGGGTACTTCTTATTTCCTAAGTAACTGAATTCCAACCAGACTATGCAAAGTAGCCAATTAAATTTCACAATGCAAAAAGGTTAGGCTGTAACCAACACACACATTTACTATTCAAAGTAATCACTAAAAGTCACCTTCACATATTGGCAAATGAATAGGAAAAAGTGCTCTACAATCAATTTGCAAAAAGGTATCCAAAACCTGAGGAGAAATCTCAGATTAACTTAACAAAGTGCTATGACATTTACTAAATTTTTCATGTAATACCTTATTTAATCAATAAATCTTAGATCAGAGAAATCAGTGACTGTTAGTAGGCTGTAAGCTCCATTTCCATTTTATTCATTGCTATATCCCTAGTTCCTAACACACAATACTGATGGATTTTTGGACGTGACCAGCACCATTGTGCACACAATAAGCACAAAACAGCCACCAGCCTTGTCTTCCACTCCAACACCAAGCCCCTCTCCCCTTCCCTTTACTAGAAGCCTCCTGACTTAAACAGAAACAACTTCTTGGCTTCCACAAGGATGCAGTTCTCCACCCAGTTACTTCAACCCAATGGTCCCTCCCCTCCATACATTTCGTGCCCAACAGCTAATATAAACTCTCGCAATCCCATTGTAGTTGCTGTCTTCCATTTTGAAGCCTGGTCTGTCCTCCACTTTGGGCACAGCCCGGCAGATTCTTTTCTTTAATAAAACTTGAATGGTCCCCGGCGTCTCGGCTCACTTTCTTTCAAATACCTCATACATAATAAGTGCACAAAAGATATTTGTTGAATTAAGGTAGTCTTTCAATTGGCTTCACTCTTCAATAGTATTCTTTCTATTCATTTTATTTCAAACTAAATTTGACACCAGAAACCTGAAATTTCTCTTAAGCTTCTCAAGTTTTTCTATTTGTAAATTTTGAAAAAAGACCTTTAATTTTTCCTTTATTCTACTTATTAGTTAGAAGAAAAAAACCTATTTTTTCCCCAAGTTTATTCCAAAGTGTGCTGAGATCACATTGAAAATCTCTTCTAGGTCCTTGAATATCTAGAGATTTTGGTCAGAAAAGAATGCCACGGCCAAAAGCACCAGACCTAATTAAAATACCAGTTAGCACCAGGGCTTGTATACCGTTGACAATTCTTATTTGTCTGTATGGAACAGAGACAGACATGCAAAGCATAGGTGGAGTTTTGATCTCTCTTCATGCCTTTCTTTTTTCCATCTATTTACTATATTTATTGAATAAACTTTCATCTCTTCCACTTCTAAATACCCTTCATTTACTATATACTTAAGCAACAATGAAAAAAGTTGCAATTTCAACCATACATGCTTTACTCTGGAAAATGGCCATTACAAACATTACTTTTTACTTAGAACTGACCTAAAAGATTTTATTTCAATGCAGCAATTCTCAAAGTGTGGTCCAAAGAATCTTGTGGAGTAAGAGAAGTGGGGAAATCTTTGAGATTCTTTTAGTTTAATAAGGCAAAAACTATCTTCATAACAACACTCAGACATTATTTGCCTTTTTCATTCCCATTCTCTCCAGTATAGCAGTAGAGTTTTCCAGAGGACACACAGCACCACATACACAACAAATTGAATGCAGAAGCAGATGTAAGAATTCTTTGTCATCAAGCCAGATATTGAAAAGTTTGCAAAACTTCAGGGGGATAGGGAGGAATAGGGAGAGGTTAGTTAATGGATACAAACTTACGGCTAGATAGGAAGAATAAGTTCTAGTGTTCTATAGTAGTGCTAGTTGTCTATAATTAAAAACAATTTATTATATATTTTCAAATGACTAGAAGAGAGGAGTTCAAATGTTCTCAACACAAAGAAACAATAAATGTTTACAATGATGGATAGGCTAATTGCCCTGATTTGAACATCACACTTTGTATACATGTATAGTAATGTCACTCTGTATCCTATAAATATGTACGATAAAAAAATTTTACAATTTAAAAAAAAAGGTGAAGCATAGTCAGTCAATAACTCTCAAAAGATGATTGATATTTCTAATAAGAGCAAAACAATGTAAATATGATTAATAAATAAAACAAAAATTATTTTTAAGTTTGTCATCCTTAGTTCATCTTAATATTTCTATTTTAAATGTTTTATAATATAAATATTTTTAGTATGTCAGTTTATGAATGTAATTATAAATAAATGAGGGTGCATGTTAAAAAAAATTGATGGATACGTGCAATAACGTGGAGATCACAGAGCTTACAGAAAGTTACTCAATTTTTAAAAAATAAAGCTACTTCCTTAAATTCTCAAAAAAAGTCTGCAAAAATATAAAACAATGCCAGTCTTGTCACTAAATATTCTTGTCTTAGAAAATTTACTTATTTTTCATTTAAAAACTATGTCAACACAATTATATTTATCTTGTTTAAATGAATTAATAAACACAAAATTTTTGATTCCCAGTTTTAATTTCTAATATGACAAATAATAAATATAGCCCACATAGACAAAAACTCTCTGAAGTCCTCAATAATTTTTTAAAAGTGTAAAGGGGTCCTCAGACCAAAAAGTTTGAGAACCACTGCTTTAATGGCCTAGTAAAGACAGAAAACAAGGTCCTTCCCTGCTTTTTAAATTTTACTTGAAATGCAAAACTTATAAAACGTAAGGCAATTCTAATTCAAAATATTATGTTAAAGCACTGGACTTACCATTATAGGTTATTCTTGGCTTTGTTAGACACATCACCAGATGCAAATCCATTTCATCTGAGGGTACGAATTTTGAGCATACGGGGCACTTAAATCCTAAAAAGTAAAAGAAACCCAAGTTACTTAACTATTGTGAATATCCAACCATGGTTTTTAAAAAGCATGAAAGACCAAAAACATTTCAAACTTCAATGTTATATTTACATTAATGTATTACACTACTTATGTGCAACCCAAGTTGAGAAAGAGTCTGTGACTAAATATCTGACTTAAATAAGTTTATAAAGATCATCCTATCTTTAAATAAAATAAGTTCAAATGAGGAGAATGTGCTCTACTACAAAACTCCCATATCTCTTTTTAATTGTACTGGTCCAGTCATTGTTTCTAATTTTTACATTGATCTGTACTTATGATTTCATCTTATAATACCTTTGAATTCTGACTATACTTGTGGAAATTACATTTCCCAGGTTGGTATAGTACACTGAGTCGCAGGTTTTATAGCTAGATAAATATCTTAGAAATATCTTAGAAACTATTCTACCCCACCAACCTTTAAAAAAATTATGTGATGAGAGATGTGAAGCCTTTCAGAACAGCAAAAACAGGCCTTAACATTCCTGACTTTTACTTCAGTGGTCTTTCTGCCATAAAAATGCTACTAAAGTCATAATACGGATAAAAAATACCATCAAACCAGGGCAGGTTTTTGCAGTCAAACTTGAGATTTAAATATTAGCTAGTTTCCTACAATATTCAATCTGCACTACTAAGTATTTGCCTGAAGTACTCCATTAAAAATAAACTGGCATACTAAAGGAGAGACTATTTTATACACTCAGTTCTATCCTGCTCCCTCACTTATCAAGGGAAACTGCCTATGCCCCCATCCCCACTGCTCCCTCCCCTCCACATCCCTAAGCTGCTTGAGCAGTGCTGGACACCTGATCCCAATCAATTTATAGTTCGGGAACAAAAAAGAACATTGACCAAGCAGTAAAGAGCTGAACAAGAGAATGGAGTGTCTGTGATGGCTCAGGTGTGACAGAAACAATAGGCAAGCACAGGAAAGTGGTCCACATGGAAATCTTAGAGCAGATGTGTAGTGAGAAGCAGAATCACTGAGAGAGAGAACAACTAATAAGAAGGGGGTGAAAGAGACATGGTGGCAGCTCTCTAGTTCCAGTACATGTGTGTTCTTACAGGGACTGTCCTCCCTTCATCATGACGTGAAAGTCACTGCAACCAAATGAGTCAGACTAGAATCATACCTACTTCACACAGAACTTAAAAGGACTGGGGAAAGGGTTTTGGCATGGCTACGTATCCAAGAGTTCAATTTCCTAAATAAAATATGACTTTGAACACTATTTTTCAAACTATATTAAAGAATAAAAGTATGTTTACTTCAACTTCTTGAAAACCACCAAAATAAAAAAAGTAAAAGAACTAATCTAAAATGAAACTATATAAAAAATGGAAAAAATACATAAAATGAAAATATAAAAAATTATAATCGCCAAATACTGACTACATCAAATACAGTGAAATTTAATCAAACAGAGTGAAAACAAAGAGATCTTAAAGCAGCAACCACATTTCAAGGACCAACTAACAAATCTTTTCCTTGGAATTATAACAACTTGCTTCCTTGAAGTTAAACAGAACATAAAAGAGAGCAAGAAGCAACCAATTTTGCAGCTACTGATCAGAATCGTCTGGGTACTGGCACACAATCCCTAAATCAAACAAAAGTACAATACTGTGAACCTAAAAAGCTGCACTGAGAGCCATCCAACCACCCACAAAATAGAGCCTAAAGAGTAAAAACAGTCTGTACAAAGAATCTCCTGGATTTCTAGTTAAATACGGTAAATTAAACACATCTGTTTCTCTTTCCATCACCCAATACCCACTAAAATGAGGATAATAAGATAAAATTAAAATGAGATAAAGAAGAACTTAAGAGGAGTTAGCACCAAATGAAAGATAAGAAAACAGATGAAGGAACTGACAGGACTGAGAAAGTAGACATCTTAAGTGCCCGCAGAAGTAAGCCAATCCTCACTATGTAATTCTCAAAGGGCTCAGGAATCTGCAGCTTCATGACCTCCCAAGACAACAGTGATGCATGAAACAGACCCCCAGGTCCCCAATTTCACTGTATTTGATGTACTCAGTCTTTGGCGATTACAGTTTTTTATATTTTCATTTTATTTATTTTTTCTGTTTTTTGTAGTTTTATTTTAGATTAGTTAAAGTAATGACAACTTGGCTAATGACATACAGCCAAGCAACTACCATACCACTACAGCAGGAGAATAGAGGTTTACTGTGTAAAAAAGAACAAAAGATTCAGAATTGAGACCACCAGGCACAGCAATGGGCAGGAAAAAAAATGAATGGGAATAAATAAATACTGAAAACGATCTCTCTCCTCAGTCACCACCTCTACGCATTAAAAAAATTGGTAGATTCTTCTCTTAAATCAAAAGTTTCCACAAAATGAAACATCAAGATCCTTGCCTAATGATAAGCCCTAGCCTTGCACATAAAGCTCCTAATCAGCTTTCTAGGGCCTCTCTCTTAAGCATTATGCAATAAAACAAAAAATGTATCGTAGTAAAACACACCAGAAGCAAATTCCAAGCACAAATGACAAATATCTGCAATATATCAAAAACAAAAGGATAATGTCCTTATACAGTATAAAGAACTCTTAAAATTGAGGAAAATAAAACCAAATACTGTTGAAAAATGGGCACAAGTTCTAAACAGACATTACACCAAGAAAAAAAGAGATATGCAAATAACTGTTAAATAAATAAAAAACTGCACAGTGTTTGAATAAAAGAAGCACTTTCCTCAAGTTCTTCATATTTCTTTACTCTTGTTTTAACGGGCTTAGGAGGGAGGAGAAACATCTGTTTAATTCACTGTAACTAGAAATTCAGGTGGTTCTTCGTATAGACTGTTTTCTCTCCTTAGCCTCTACTTTATCTCTACACTGAGATACTATTTCCCATCCCAGATGGGCAAAAACTCAAAATCTTAACCACACATTCTTGGTGAGGCTATAAACAAATAACCACTTTCATACACTGCTGGTAGGATTGCAAAATTATACATTCTCTATGGAAGAATAATTTGGCAATACCTAACGAATGTACATATGAGTTTGTGTTTCTCTTCTAATCCGGCTGTAGGAACTCACCCTGAAGGTATGTCCCCAACAATACCAAAAAAAAAAAAAAAAAAGGCACAAAAAACCCACATGCAAAGCAATTTACTTAGGCACTATCTGAAACAGCACAACATTGCAAACAATTTAAGTGATCACACTTCAGAGATTTGGTGAATAAACCATGGTACATCGACACAATTCAGTACTATGCAGGTAGGTGTAAAAAAGAAATAAGGAAGATCTCTAACTGGTATGGAATGATATCCAGGTTACATTAAGTGGGGGGAAAAAAAGCAGTGTTCAAAGGAATGCATATGCTATGCTAGCTACAGTGCAAGAAAGAAAATAAGAATGAATGTGTATGCATATATCTGCAAAAAGAAAAACAGGAAGGATAAACTTCAAGCTAGGGTTTACACACATCTTATCTACAAGTGGCAAGAATGTGGTGAAAGACATAAGGAAGATTTTAATAAAGCTTTTGACTTCTGAACAATGTTAACAATTTACATATTCAAAAATAAAAACAAAACAAAAATTAGGGGAAAATCCCTACTAAAACCAAATGTAAGCAGAAACAAATGAACCTTGTTATGTATCAAATTGATAATCACAAAGAAAAATACACACATACTTCTTAGCTCTGTCCACTGAAAGGGCCCAGAAGCAATGATACTCAGTAGAAATAAGAAGACCCAGCCTCCAGATCTTAGGTTTTTAAGTATCATTCCCCATGAAAACAAACTAGTACTCCTCAGAATGCAAAAGTACAATTACACATTCAGAAACTATCAACCCAAGATCATTTAACTAACAAAGAGAAAAGGCGCTTCTACAATGGAAAAACTGGCTGATATCACCTCAAACAAAACAAACAAAAGGGCCAGCTGACATCATGTATTCCCTGACGTGATACACTGAAGGCATGATACCTACACGTATTCCTGCCAAACATAATTTGAACCAAATTATGAGGCTTTTGGGGGGAAAAGCCTCCAACATATGAGATAGACGACAGAACTATGATAAAAGTCAATGCAGAAAGCAGAAGAAAACTTCAACATTGCCATCCCCCATCTTAATTATAAAATATATTTATTTGGGAAATTTTTGTTTCTAATTATTTGTTTTCATTTCCATCTTATATGTTAGAGGCTTTTCCCAAATTTCCTCAATTATCCCAATGATTTAAGATGATGTTGCATCCATGACACAAGAACAGGGGGCTATAAAATAATAGAGAACCAAAAGTAAGTTCCAAAAAATTAAAAATCTGATAGATTAAAAATTCAAATAGACAACTAGAATATTAACCTGAGGTAATAATGCCAACTAATAATAATTAACATTTACTATGCATTAGAAAATTACCTAAGCACTTGGCTAAATTTAACTCATTTATCCCTACATTCTTTGAATTAGGTACTGATATTTTACAGATGAAAAACAGAAAGGGTAAGTAACCTGTATAAGGTCACACAGCTAGAAATTGGCAACACCAGAATTCAGACAGGTCTTCTGATTCCAGAGCCTAAGTCCTTAATCATTAACCTACACAGCTTTTTCAATCTCCCAGGAAATAGAACCAAAAGTCAGATAGTAGAATAGATAATAAAATCAGAAGATCAATCCAAGTGGTATAACATCCAACCAATAAACATGGAATTGACAAAAGAGGAAAAACTATCAAAGACACAATATAACATATTTTCCCAAACTGAAGTTCATGAGTCTATCAACTAAAAAAATGTAAATGAAAGAAATGAAAATAAATAGCCATCCCAAGGCACATTATTATGAAATAACAGAGCATTAGGAATAAAGAACAAAGTCTAAAATTTCCCAGAAGTAAAAGATCAAGATAAAATATCTAGAACCCTTTCCTGGGCTTTAAAAATTTTTTG